ATTGACATGCATATGTGGTGCCTGAGTTTCTCATTATTTCTACCTGTTTCTTTTTGGGAGGAGGTAATTAGGGGTTTCAATTTTTTTTTTTTAATGGAGGTACCGGGGATTGAACCCAGGACCTTGTGCATGCTAAGCATGTGCTCTACCAATGAGCTATACCCTCCCCCCTCCCCTACCTGTTTCTCTTTGGAGTTGTGTGACTCTGATCAAATTGTAAGGCGCTCTGGGTTAATGAGAGTAGGTGGTCAAGAAGAAACGTGCAGAAATGTAAACAGAAAGCTTCTGGTTACTTGATTAAACTGATAACTTGTTTATGGAGGTTCAAGAATCCATTAAAGGCATTTAACGGTTGGTTGTTCAAAACCTTGCTGTAACTCTTGGTACAGTTCCATAAGCTGACAGTTATTGATAAGTTTCTTCAGCCCTTACTATGTGCCACAATTCGCGCTGAGAACTTCAAATGCATTCGTTTATTTAATATTTCCAACATCCCTATGAAGTAATTTACTTTTATATTTTGTCCTCCTTTACAGATAAAACACTGAGATTCAAACAGTTAGTAAATGACAGGGCTGGGATTTAAATCCGCATGTGACCCTGCTCCCCCCAACCCAAGATCTTGCTTTTTTAATCACTTAGTGGTTAGTCTCCCCAAAAGAGAGGAAATACCTCTAAGGGATGAGGTGCCTATCTATCCATTATGGCACCGCCACCCCAGAGGTAAATCCTCACCAAGAAACTCCCACACAGGAAAGACTGCCTCATCAGAGCAAGAGGCTCCACCCTTGACACATACACCCGGGATCAGCACTCCCAAATCCACTCAGAGGGCCGCACCCCCACCCCTTAAAGAACCTCTGCTTTGCCCAGCGGGAGACTCCACTCTTGGGTTCAATCTTTTAATTCAAACCCTCTCCCATTTCTGAGGCCCTCTAACCACCCTCCACACACCACCATATTTCAGAGGAGGTCCAGCTGCGTAATTGCGTGCCCAATGCAATATGAAAATGTGGCGTCCCTTGTTTAAAAAAAAAAAGAATTTCAAGAATGAGACAGCAGAGTTTCAAACCAAATCCTGGGACCCCTCATCTGGGACTGCACTGGTCACTTGCCCACGGAACCGACCCTGCTTCGGAGATACCCTTTTAGTGAAGGGATTGGCCAACTCGGTCAGAATCAGTAAATCTTTCTGACCTGGAGTGGAGGAGGGGGAACATAGAATACCCAACTTCCCAAGACTACCCTTATTGGAGAACACATCCTGGGACAACCTCCGTAAACTTGGAATCACTTCTCTTGGCTTGGGCTGAAGCTCCCTTCGCACCTTTCTAGCCGCTGGGTGGTCCTCGTGACCCAGCCCCAGCTCCACCCGCCGGGAGTTTGGGCCTCACCGCATGCGGCCCATTGCCGGGGCAACCGACGCCGAGAGCGGTGCATTGTGGTTTGCAATAAAATGCAGGCGAAAGATCCTGAGGGAACCATTGAGCCCATGGGCCAATGGGAGAGTCCTGGTGGCTGCGTCAAGCCAATAAGGACGTCCAGCGGGAGGCGGGGCCGGCGGGAGCAGGGCGGGGCCTAGGCACTAGGCGGCGGCGGCTGGCTTGGGGCTCCTTAGATGCGCCACGGCTTCAGTAGCGACCGCTGCTATTGTCGGGTCTGAACCTCGCCAGCCCCTCCCCCAGGAGACTGTTGCGGTCGGCCACCCCCTGCTCCTTGGTGAGCGACAGGGGTCTCCGCTACCTGGCTTCGTTCCCTGCTGGACTTCTCCCGCCGTTCGGTCCGCGCGGCCCGCGCTTCCTGAGAAGTGGGGTGGGGGGCGTCGTCCCGGGGTGGTATGGCGTGGGGCGGAGCGGGCTGGGAACGCTGGCGCTTCGCGGGCGCAGCCCACCCCGCAACTTCTCACCCTTTACTTGGGCCTCGCCCCCCAGGTAACCATGTGTGACCGAAAGGCCGTGATCAAAAATGCCGATATGTCGGAGGAGATGCAACAGGACTCGGTGGAGTGTGCTACTCAGGCATTGGAGAAGTATAATATAGAGAAGGACATTGCGGCCCATATCAAGAAGGTGAGGATTGGGCGCGGGCGTGGGGGTCTCGGGCAGTTTGCGCACAGCTGGGGCGAGTTACAACTTAGTTCCTTCTCCCCGATCCTGGGTCCCCAGGGCGCTGGCAGAGATTCTCCCGGCCTGCGAGGCAACGCGGGTGTAGAGGTTTCCAGAAAGGAGGCAGATGAATTTTTGCACTCCTCCTGAGAAGATCAGACCCTCAGCGCCCGAAGTTTTTTTATTACCCAGCTCCGCGGGGAAAGCGCCACCTAGCAACGGTTTCTAGGATCAGGGAGCAGCGGTTCCCCCTTCTGCATGGTTGCTGCGCCGAGGATCCATCTGGGTGTTTGTGAGGGAGAGCTGCGTGGGTGTTTCCAGCAGGGCCGGAGGGAGATCTTGCCAGCCTTCAGTGGGGAGTCAGTCGGCAGTTGAGGGAAAGTGGGTGGTAGTGGTGGTTGGGGACTGGGGTGGGGGCTTGGTGAATGGCAGTCTGTAGAAAGCTGGCAGGCCTGCCAACTTCTCGAGCTATGTTTTCTGGAAAGGGAGGAAGCTGGCAGCCTAAGCCGTGGGAGGGTTCCAATGGAGAATGAGAAGATGAAAGACTTCAGACAGAACAGACATACCTTTTTTGACAAAGGCAGCAAGCAGTGCGTTGGTCTAGCTTGTAAGAATGTTATTCCCTTTAATCTAAAAGATGTTCTGGTTGCCTAACTAACCAAAGACTTGTAAGAATTTCAAAGAAAAAGATTAGCTTTGGCCCCTGCCTGGGGTTATCTAGTGAAGAAATTAACTCAGGCATTCTAGTCCCTAGAGCCCTTTGGAATGAGGAAGATAGGGAATTACTGCATTTTGCTATCCTTGAGGACCAGGTGGTAGGTTAACACCATCAGGGTAGAGGTGGGAAGGAGGGCTATTGACGTTAAAGATGAAGTGTCTTGTCCCTTTAGATTAATGATGTACAGAGGTTTAGATGCTAATTGAAGCTTTGTTCTTTTGGAATTTTTACTTTCAATGATACTGGAAGGACTTTAACAATAGAGTATGAGATATAATGGAGTATTTTAGGCTAAATATTTACTATTTTCTTGGATTTGGGGGTGATTGTCAAACTGTAGGAGCGTAGTTTAGTTCTGTTTAGACATAAAAACATGATAAACTAGAACTGTTACCACCTGCTGTCAATGAATAAGAATATTATAGAAGTTATGAAGGTGGAATTAGCATGATAACAAAGCGCTCTGTCTTTGAGGCTGCCCTTTCTGCCTTTTACCTCCCCAGCCTCTGCCCTGCCCATCCTAGCCCCAGCTTAGCTCAGATTGCAAGTATGTTTGCATTAATGCACTATGTAGGCGACTTGGAGCTGGGGAACATTTCTTTCATTCTAAGAATTTGCAGATGCTAATATTCCTTTTTTCTGCCCCTACAGGCTCTGCTTATCTAGGAGGCAAACTCTGACCTCTGGTTTAGCACTAAAATTCTAGTGTTCTTTTTCTCCCTCCTCCCCTCCCCAGGAGTTTGACAAGAAGTACAACCCTACCTGGCACTGCATTGTTGGGAGGAACTTCGGTAGTTACGTGACACATGAAACCAAACACTTCATCTACTTCTACCTGGGCCAAGTGGCCATTCTTCTGTTCAAATCTGGTTAAAAGCATGGACTGTGCCACACACCCAGTGATCCATCCAAAACCAAGGACTGCAGCCTAAATTCCAAATATCAGAGACTGAAATCTTCAGCCTTGCCTAAGGGAACACCTCAATCTTTGAACCTTTATTGTGTTGTTTTGTACAGGGAGGCCTTCTCTGTACTAATTTGTTGTAGTTATAAACCAATTAGCAAAACAGCTTACATTTGTATTTATTTTCTATTGCATACCTCTCTGCCCCATGTTTTTCTCTTCAAAATCCATTCCTTTAAAGAAAAAATAAATCTGTTGGAGAAGTATGTGTTAATTACGATTTGTTCAAATAATCTAGGGTTGAAGATGGCATACCATTTGATCTCGAGTAGGTTGGTGGGGGTGAGTCCTTGAAGTTTCTGCAGGATATAATAGTCTAGCTTGTTCAGTACTCTTTTGAGTTCCATTCTTGTCCATCCTGCAACTGTTGTGCATGGGAGAATAATACTCAGAAGTGCATGTTGAGAAATGCATGGCAGAGAAACTACTGGATTAAATTTAACTCCTAATCTGATACTTTCCTTAAGTGCTCATTTTGTTAAAAGATGTTGCTCTATAGTGTCCTGGGCCTTAGGCCTCAAGTGATGAATGTATAGTAGAACTCCTTTAAGCGTTCTATGGCTGTAAAATGGAAATAAGCTGGTAAGAAAGTAGGACTAATGAGAAATTCGCTAGGCTCTAGACGGCTTCCCCTCCCTTGCCTTGGCCAAAGTATATTCTAAAGATTAAAGGTGGTCTTAAAAGAGAAAAAGCATTTGAGCAGCAGCCCTCCATGTGATTCTAATAAAGTCTTTGCAGGAATTTAAACTTAAGCCTGCTGTGCTGTGCTTTAACATGTGAATTGAAGCATTCATTAAAAGACCCAATTAAAGCTGTGGATAAGTCAACTTCATTAAAGTTTCCTGCTATCAATTTTAGGACAACAAATATTTTATATGAATAAAAGCAAATATGGCAGAGTTGGCTTTTGTGGGTAGAGAGGAAATATTCCAGAGGCTGAAACAACCCATACCCACTTTGGTAAGCTGCAAGAAAGGTCCTGGCTTTCAGTTTCCCTGTGTTCTTTTCAGTGTTCACATGAAGTAAGGTTTTTATTTTGGCCCTAGGTCTATGAGATAAAATTAGGATGTCTGAGCAGCCCTTGCCTCACAGAGGGGGTGACAGACTTGAAATGACTGATGACTCCATGTTAAGAGCAGCCTTAGGTCTGTAACATCTTGAAGATTATTTTTCTTTACCAGAATTTGAACTTTTAGAAGTACTAGTGAAGCTGAGCCATGTTAGGACAGGGAAAATTTCAGGGTAGAGGAGCAAAAAACTTACTATTTATAATGGCAATTAAAATGGGAGAAGAGTATTTTTCCCCTGCTTTCTGAGGGAAAGAAGGATGAGGAGGAACTGTGGAACAGGGGACTGCAATTGGGGTGATTCAGGTTTGTATTTCTATGAATAGACATAATTCATCTTTTTTTCTAGCTACTTTTCCTCTTGTAACTTAGTTATAGTTGTTTGAAACCCAACAGGAATTTGGCCTCCAAAGCTGTTATCAGTCTTGTCCATTTTAGTTCTACATTGAAATAGTCTCCAGGAACAGACCCTAAAGCTGCTTTAGTCCACAAACAGCAGGACATTGGGGAGTTCTAATTTGATCAGGCCCATATCCATTGCCAGGAAATGATAGCTTTTAAATTTTATTTCTTGATTCAGATATGAGAAAACCACATTGCCACTGAGATGGGACTGGGTTGAGGTTTTATGAAGTTCCTTCCAGCATCTGCATTCCTTTCAGCATTTTCAAAGGCTTCAGCTGGCTGGAAACAAAATGGAAGCTAAAAGTTTTTTTCTCAGGTTTAGCACTTTATTGAATGTTTTCAGGTGCTGTTCTATGAGACAGTTGTAATATAGAGAGCTGTATTTGGAAGCTTTTCAAATGAGAGGGCAAGATTCTGTGGGTGAAGGTACTTAATGACCCTTCCTGTGCTGGGACAAGAGGCAGCATTATTTGAAGCCTTTTCAAGTAGCCTTGAACTAAGGTATCTGCAGTTAAACTGCCAGCCAACTCACAGGTTGATTTTTGCAATTTCTTAGCAAGACCCTCAAAAACTAAGCTTCATTCACACTCAAAATATGGCCTCATTTTAACATGAGTGGACTGTATCGAGACAAGCTCTGCCCAGCTCTGCCGGAGTACTGGAGCAGGTTAGGCAAGGTAAATAGTTATCAGACTTTTTTTTTTTTTTTTTTGCTATAAAATCCTTTCTTCAAATGTATTCTGGCAAAGAAGCTCTCCATGTAAGACATGAAAGCTGGAAATTGCTGGTACATTTATTCTTTCAACAAGGATTTGTCAAGTTGCTTTCTTCATGACCGGCACCGAAAACACAATAGTGGCTTTTGGTAGAAGAGGACTGAACGAATAATGACAAAAGTTTTTCTCACTTCCCCTCAAGAAAAAATGACAAATACTACACAAACTAAATGCATTTAGTGCTTCAGTGCGTATTTCTAGTTGCGATCCTTAGCCCTCTAACTCGGGCCTTGGCTTTTGGCCCTGGACTGTCTGGACTGAAAGGTGGACTCAGGTACAGCTAGGAAGTTCTCTGGTTCAAATCATCGAGTTCAAATGACTCATTATGCAGAGAAGCTACAAAACACTTCAAAACTGAGTTTTAGTGCTGGTTTTAATGACACACTGGACAGCCAAGAAAAATTAGTAGGAGTTAAGCAAAAAGTACAGACCAAATAAATACCTTTGGGAGAAAGCCTGAAGCAGCCCTTAAGGAAAGCTGCAGTAAAGTGACAGAAACTTGTTTCTTTCACTTGGAGATTGGTCACATCAGAACATGAGTCCAAGGCAGATAGCCTTAAGAGATGTTCTGCTGCTGGTCTCACTAACCAGATTATCCTTCAGCTCCAGGCTTTCCACAGGATGTGACTGGTTCATGCTCCAGGATCTTAAAGGAGTTACAGTTTGAAGCCAGAATGAATGGCTACAATGCCTGACGTTAGATTTTCATAAGTCACTTTCTGAAAACCTGCATCTTCTATCATCTCCTTGAACTCCTCCTAAAACACAAAGAAAGATATAGCAAAAATCACCTGGATTTCAACCGTAGGGTCTTTGTTGTAAGCTGTAGAAGTTCTGTACCTGAGATGGGAACTGTCGGATGCTCTCTACCAGGTATTGGTAGGACTTCCAGTCTCCTGCAATCACCTCTCCCAGGACAGGGATGACCTGGAAGCTATATACATCATAGAGCCTAAACAAAAAGGCAAAAGATTAGAACATGACCCTTGATAAGAAGCAGGAAGATCTAAGCCTGGGCTCATAAACTCACATGCCTATAGGGAGAGGTCAAGCAAGTACCTGAAATAGTGGGCCAAATGGCAAGATCAATAGGATGTGGTGACAGGTACAGTTAGAAGGACCATAAAGTGGGGGAGGGGTGGCTACTACTCAGCTCTGACTATTGCCATGTGGAAATACAGGCTTAACCGAGGGTCACCACATATCTGATTTCTCAAGTGAAGCTGGAAATCCAGGTTTTTATGTAAAATTTCCTTATTTTAAAAATTTAGACATCTAAGTCCATTTCTAAAATACCAAGAATCAAACAAAATACAGACGTTGGCCCACTTGAGTCTCTGGTTACTGGTTTGAAACTCTTCTGGCCTAGGTGTCATCATTTAGAACTGGCTAACCTCTGAGGTGGCACTGTCCCTCAGGGACTCTGGGACTCTGAGCTATGAAGTTTAGGCTTAGAGCTTACTGACTATTTTCTCTCCATTTTGGGATGGGAAGCTCTTGGCTAGATGATGAAAATAAAGCCCTGTTAACAATGCCAACCTGGATACGAGGGGATTGTTCACTTGGCTAAACTCCAGACAGAGAAACCGTCCTCCTGGCTTCAGGACCCGATGGGCTTCCTGGAGTGCCTGAGTGAGACAAGGAACAGAACACACATCTCAGCAGCCCTCACACAACTCTGGGAGGCTGAGAACCCTTTAGCTTTCACAGGCATTATACCAGCTACTTCCCACAGATCCCTTGTTCACTCTCAGCTGCTAAGCTGTAACAGCAGAAATAACCCTACAATCTCCTAAATGCTTTAGGCATCCTGCTGCCCATGACTAGAGAAGTTTGCTTGGAGTAACCTAAACTGATTCAGATTGGCACAACCCCCATGGGGGGCAATTTTAGAATGATTAAAATCACACTGAATATTCCTTTTTGATCTAGCAATTTTACTTCAAGGAATCTATTCCTACAGAAGTGCATCTACTGTGGAAATGACATGTATATGGGTTATTCACTGCAGCACAATTTGAACAGCATAAGATTAGAGCATCTTAACCATTAATGAGAGACTGATTAAATTATGGACTATCTATGCAAATGGAATCTATGCAGCTATTAAAAAAAATAGCCAGTATTCTTTATGTGCTGACATGGAAAATCTGCAAGGTATATTTTTAAGGAAAAAAACAGCAGTAGGCAAAGCGTTTCAAGGCTAGTATTCGTATAAAAGAAGAAAGAAAATATATATACTTAATATGCACAAAACATCTTTGCAAAGATGCATTAAGAAATTAGTGACTATAGGGGGAAGAGGCACTGACTGAATGGTTGGGACACAAGGGTGAAGACTTACCAATACATCATTTTGTGCCTTTTGAACTTTAAACATTTTTTTTTAATTTAAAAGGAATAATAAACTGGCTACATACACAGGACAGGTCATAAAAACCAAGCTAGCACACACCATAAAGGATGTCTCACCCAAAGCAGGGAACCAGGCAACCGGAGTCCACACTAGAGATATGAAACTGGTTGCCTTGCTCAGCATCTTCAAATGTTTTGGACAGAAAGAAATAAATGATGAAGAGCTGAACACTCCCTTCTTCCTACAGAGGAACCATGAATCTAGCAACCTTCTGCCAAAAGAGGGTTTGAGTGTCTTTTTCTGTGCCGGCCAAGGAAATGCCTCTGATCTGCAAAATCACAGAGTCAGATGGCTTCACAAATGAGAGAAAACAGATGAAGTAACAGAGAAGACCGACAGTCTCAAAGATGTAAATACCAGCCCAAGCAACAAAGGCGTCCATGGGGATCTCTCTGTGATTCTGTTTTTTTCTTTCAATTTTGTGAGCAGGAAAATTGGCAACTTAAAGGATTAAGACCTCTAAGCCTGAAATGTTCCACTAAAGAGCTGGGCCCAGAAAAGGCTCTCTCCCTCTCCTCATCCACTCCAGCAGCACTAATATCCTGAGTCACACCAGCTGAGGAGGCAGCCATTCATACCTGATCGATGTGTGTGACATTCCGGATCCCAAAGGCAATGGTGTAAACATCAAACTTATTGTCATCAAAGGGTAGTTCTTCGGCATCTCCCAATACCCAAGCAAGTCCTGAAACAGAAGAACAGTTCCAGTCTCAGTCTGGGGAGTTGTCTCCTCTGCACGCAGCAAACTGTCAAACCTGAGGAGGGGTTCGAGGAACCCCTGAATTTGTAGTCAGCCGGACAGAAGTGTAGGTAGCTGGGATGCCCTGTCTGCGGCTGGCTTGTGAAGTGGGAGCAGTCTTGTGGCATCAGTGCTAACTTTGGGTAATTAATGTCAGAACTGAACTGAATTGCTGGACACCTGCTTGGTGTTGGACAGCTGGAGAATTGTTTGGTGCCTGGTGAACATCCCACATGTGGTATCTGAAGTGGCGTCAGAAAACACGTATCTGCCTTCTCCACTGGACTCCTGGCCACTGTCTTCAAAGTATCCCCCCGTCCCAAGAACTTGAAGATGGTGTCCTTGAAGCTTAGCAGGAAGTCCCCCAAGGCTTTGAGTAGAACTTGAGTACTTAGTAGTGCCTCACCATCAAGCAGTTTTTATCCAACTAAGTGTTTTGTGTAGAGCACTGTGGTTAAAAAGGCCCAGGTCCTGGGTTGCCTGGGTTCTAATTCCAGCGTCCCCATTTATTAGTCATATAATCTTGAATAAACTACTTTGTCTCAGTTTCCTCATCTGTAAAATGGAGTCAGTAATAATACCCACTTCAGGGGTCATTGTAAGTATTCTAAGTACACAATTTAGCATAGTTATATTGGTTTTATTGGAGTCATAGAGAAGCAAAGTGTCTAGACCCCAAGTCTGGTCATGAATTCAGCCCCTGTCAGGGTGGCTGTGTCCTCTGAGGGTCCTGATTCAGCTTTAACATTATTCACCTTGCAGTGAATCCGACATAAAATATGACACAGAAGAAAGGGACTATAGAGGAAAAGTAAATGAAAGACATCTTCCTCGAAAGCACACTAGCAGTATTTAACAAGGGCCTTAAAAGTAAGCATACTCTTTGACCCAGCTATTTGATTTTTAGGAGGGAGATATTAATGACATCACCATCCAGAGCTACTGCTTACTGGGGCCATGACGGCAGGGTCTGTGTTATCACGTTACCTTCTCACATCCTCATACTGACTCCATGAGACAGCTGTTAGTATCCTTCAGGTGAGCAAAACTGAGTTTCAGAAAGGTTAAAGTAGCTTGCCCAAGGCCACGCAGATGGATTAGAACACAGGCCGTTTTACTCTGCAGCCTGTGTTTTTACCAGTTATGGTACAGTATCCTCCTACTGTGAGGTGGTTTTATTTTCTCCATTTCATAGATAAGGTAACTGATATCCAGAGAGTTTAAATACTTATCCAAGTTTATATAGTCAGTAAAAAAAAAACCTAATGAATGTATGCAAAAATGTATAAATAAGGATGTCACAAAGTTGTGTTATATGCAAAAACATTAGGAAAAAAGGAGAGATCAACTGGTTATTGGTTATGTAAACTGGTTATGGGAATCATAAAACATTTGTATGGGGGACTATCATGAAAAATAATGATTTTAAGGAATTTCTTAATAACAAGGAAAAATCTCATGATACAATGCTGAATTAAATGAAGCAGGATACTAAATTGTCTACACAGGATGCTCTCAATTTCATAAAAAGGAAAACATTCAGAAGAAGATAGGAAGGAAATATATTAAAAATTTGAGGAGTATCTCTGGATGTTGAAATTGTGGTTAACATTTACTTTCTTATGAGTACTTTTTCAAATTTTTGCATTTCTGAAATCCAAATTTTTCTCAAATATATCACTTTAATAACCCATCAAGTAATTTTTGGGGGGGGAGTGTGTAGGGGGAAGAGGTAATTAAATTTATTTATTTACTTAAATGGAGGTACTGGGGATTGACCCCAGGACCTCCTGCATGCTAAGCACACATGCTACCCCTGAGTTATATAACCTCCTCCACCTTTAAAAAATCTTTTTAAGGTTCCTGCCCTCCAAGCTCCCATTTGGGGAGGAAGTGCTACCCATAAAACGTAAATAAAACACATCATAGCACTAAACATAAAAATGCCTCTACTCGTTAACATTTACAATTATTAAATACTTTCTAGGATCCTTCTATTTAGTTTCAAACTTTTCTGCATGATATTCTTTGCAAAGGCATTATTATTGGAAATTGATAAAGTGAGGAGGAAAGATAAAGCCGTACTAAGCAGCACTTAGAGATTCATATGCAGGTAGACCTGTCCTGGCAAGAGGGATTCAGAAGTGGAGCACCAGCCATCACGTCTGTCTTTGTTCGCCACACTTCGTAGCTGAGCATGAGAGAGAGGGAAACACATTTCTCAGTAGGAGTAAGGAGACATAGTGCCTTTGTCTAGAAATCCTAGTGACTGTCGGCCTTCTGATCCATGTTGATGGTTAACAAAGGAGTCCTTCATTTAGGGGGCCAAGTGGGCTGCAGTTCGTCTAGGCAGCTTGTTCTCGGGGTGGGGGCAGGAGGAGGAGGAAGAACTGACCTAAAATAACCACAGACACTCATGGTGGGGGCGGGAGAGGAGAGAAAAGCTGATGTTGACGGGAGGGACTCGGCTTTCTTTGCTGTGTCCCACTGCCTGTCGCAGGGGCCGCCTGCAGTGCCTGGCCGGCGTGGAAGAGGGAGCCACAGCATCTCTGAGAAGCTGGGTAAAACATGCCGTAGCTGCCACATCAGAACTTCTCCTGGGGCAAAAAACTGGGGGCTAATGTATTTCAAAATATTAAAACAAACAGCCAAACGTAAAAGGTACATTTTAAAGCTAGAGCAGAAATTGTCCATCTGGAGGCTGCAGTAGGTTCCTGGAGAAGCACAACCACTTTCCTACGGGCCATTGAGAGCAGCACCATGCGAGGGAAGCCGGATGACTACCATTTACAGGTGTCCTTTCAACTGTATCACGTGGGCCCCTGAGATGGGGGTATCACGCTGGGATGGACGGAAGAATGCAAAAGGTTTTTTCTTTTTTTGGGTGGGAGGGTGAGGGGAGACACTTGGGAAGGATAAAAAGAAGAGGAAGCAAGGCTGAGTGGGCAAAACCGTTTGACCTTGATGCAGATCTGATAAAGCCTCGGCCTACCCGACTTGGAACTCTGGAGCAAAGACTGCCTGCAAAGAGAGTCTCGTGAGGGAAATGCCCAGGCCCCAGCACCCTGTGGTGCTCAGTAACTGGCCTGGTTTGAGAGCTGAGGTCAAGTTTAGTTCTGGGTGGGGAATGAAATGGCTCAAGAATAGGGCACTGGGGTCACCAGTGAGCTGCTGGGAATTAAAAGCCAAACTTCTGTCTCAGGGCCCAAGAGCTGAGCTCTGAAGATCCAGCTCCAGTTTGGGATCTGCCATTTAAACTGTGTTACTTGAGTGAGATACTTAACCTCTTTGGGCTTTGGTTACCTCCCCTGTCACACAGGGGTGATGACCTAACTCCCTGGGTTGCTGACATAATGTGTATAACGGCACACAAATTACCTTCAACGCCTACCTATCTATACGTTTTTAAAACCCGGAAAACAAAGCACTTCAACATTGTACCTATTCCATCTTATTTTATGAACGTACAAACATTTCTTCTGTGTCCACTTTCTGCAGGACTCACCAGCTTTGTATCCTCGGGCACAGGCTTTCTGTTTTCCCATCTTCAGCATCTCCTTGTTGATGTCACAGACCATGACACGAGAACCGCCCAGTGAATCCTCCTGATTCTGGTACTTTTTGGCAATTTCTTCCCAGGATAAATTTTGCTGGGCCCTTAACTGCCTCTTCTGCTTTCTCTGATGCTGTGCCTGAACATAATTCAGGAACCGGAATGCAATGTCACCTGTCGGAAGCCAACAGGAGGAAAGATCAAACACAAACACAAACAAAAAACCAGCATGTCTTAAACCCAAAGGGAGCGAAACAAAGGCACAGGGATTGAGGAGCGGATACTCTGTGCTTTTGGTTGACATTCAGTTAAAAAGAAAAGAGTAATTAACTTTGTTAGAAGTGTATCAATTTTCAGTTGCCATCATCAGCCTAATGGTAGGTGAACTAACTCATTCCAAGAAGAGACTCTAATTTCCATAAAAGGTGCACAGTGGTACCCGAGGATACCAAACTGGACATTACCTGTGCCTCCAGCAACATCGAGCAGCTGGGTCCCAGGAAACGGGTGCATCTTCCAGAGCAGCAAATCCTTCCAAACACGATGGATACCAAGACTCATCATATCATTCATCACATCGTACTTCTTGGCCACACTTTCAAACACCTGATAGACTTGACATGAGAGAAACATGACTGCACTATTAGTAAGATTAACCTGGAAAAGTCCTAAATGAAAAGAGGAAGTTTTCCTCCCTGAAATTAACTGTCTTTGCAAGGTAGAGCCAAGCCGCAATGCTTGACACTCAAATCTACACCTGAACATTACCTCTTTTAAAAAAGGCTTAAACTACTTCATGTAAGAAAGAAATCAACCTCTTTTCTGTTATCTATCTTTACCTAGGACTGCTACCCTGTAATAACTCCATGCACATACTTAGTGCTAAATAGGTTTCTGTTTTTTTAGAGGATGGGGGTGGTGGTGGAATTTTTCTAATACTATTATATTAAAAGACAACAAAATCCATTAGAAAGACATATGAAAAATAGATGCGAAGACCTCAGCTCATCTCTGCCTGCATTGCTGAGAAAAACTTCAGGTACAATTTGGTGGGCAGATGGATGGCAGGATGTGAATCAGGGCCAAGTCACACTGTAGAGGGTCCTCATGAATCTTTTCCACAGGGTCCAGGCAGAATGTGGAATCTGGGCTAGCTGGACAGATAAGGAATTTACTATCCAAAACACTTTAAAGCACAGGCTACATTAACTTTTTTTGCAGCTGTGTTTCTGCCCATGCGGTGAGAATATCAGCGCTAGCCCCCTACCTGCCTGCCGTTAAGGCTGAATTTGGTAATGAAGGGAAGATACTTTGAGTTCCTCAGATGAATTGTGCTGCTTAGATCCAAAACGTTACTGATCTCTGCTGAGTCAGCAGAATATAGAGCCCCTCCTTTAACTCAATCTTGAATGCCTATTCTCAACCTCAAAGCTTGCTCTTTGCTTTTGAACATCTTTGGGGGTATTCAGAGGGACACTAAGGCTCAACCCACTGAGTGTAAGCCCTCTTTGCTCCATGTGGTTCTAATACGCAAGAATGTCAGTTACTGTGGTTTAGTTAAATAACACCAGTTCTCCAGCAACATCATTCAAATACAATGGTATATTAACTGTGACTAATTGCATAAAGTACAAATTTTGCTAGTAGTTCTTCAGTCCACAAATCACTACATAAATAACAGATGTGCATCATGATCAGAAACCAATCACGTCACTTCTTTCAGTTTGTAGGCGGTTGGTTACATCAGTTACTCAGTTCACCAGTTCACACGCAGACAGCAAAGCATGTTGTTGTGTTACCTCCTTCTCTCTCAGTTGTAAATCCCTGTGGCATTTTGTGAGATAACTGAAAGAGGAAATGAAAATGAAAGTGCAACAAAATAATGAAATGTGACAATGCTGAAAGTGAAACTGGAGTAGAATGTCAATGGAGTTA